CTGAGGACACAATACTGATCTTTAGGTGCTAAGAGCTGCCTGGCTTTTGTTTTTCTCCTGGGTGGTCATCCGTTCTCATGGCCTCCGTGGAATTCAGCTTCTCGTCTTTGAAGGGGGAAAAACACACAGGGAAGGTACAGTAGCATCCTCTGGAGGATTCCTCCACATTGTGTGGCCATTCTTCAAGGCAATCCCGACAATATTCACATATATTCTACTTTGAATTGCAAGTGTCTGTCAAGCTTACAGAAAGAAATGCCTTATGATATAACTGAACTGGAAAGAGGCCCAAGAACTATGTACATGTACTCAGCAGAGGCATTTTCTAAGTCTTAAAACCAATTTGTTTTAGTCTCACCACCTAGCACTGGGTGACCTGAGGTTGCCTACAATGGACTCCGGCTAAGGCCTGCAAACAAGCTTACCTGTCAAGACAATAAAACGGGCTTTAAAAAGATGTTATATGTATCCCAAGGCTACCCTGAAAACCAAATGCATAAACATCATTCCGCTTTCTGCTTCCTATGCTGTTCTATTCCAGGACCAGTTGTAGATGATTTATGAGGCAATAGCAAAGAAAGCGATACAAGGAAATTCCTTCGGAGGGAAAGAAAGGCAAGCAGACACCAGGCCGTGGAATGCCTTGACAAGAGAATGACGCTGAAGGAACCTTGCTAGGATTCTGAGCTTGTCAGAAAGATCAGCTCAAATGGAGGCCTGAGGTGTGCACCACGGTGCAGGTTTTACCAAAAGCAGAGAACTGGCTGTCACGTAGTGTCCTTATACAGATCTGTGGAAACAGACACAATTTAGTAGCCAATCAGATTGAGCTTCACTTTCTTAAGAAAACACAAACAAAGCTGGAGGAGAAAAAAATGAAAGGGCTGAGGAAGATCGGGTGTGGTAGCGGAGTCCGGTAATCTCAGCATTTGGGAGACTGAAGTTGGAAGAGGGATTAGCCTTTGATACACGGTGAGGTACAGGTCCGCCTAAGCCACAGAGCAAAACCCTATCTCAAAACCCCAAACAAACCAAAACTCACAAACTCACATAAGACACCTGCTGTTTTTGTGTAATAATGGGGAAAATAAACTGGGAAAAGAGACAGGAAACTGGACAGCACGGGACAAACCAGGGAGCCAGGGCTGCTGGAGGCCTTTCCAGCTCATGGGAGATCTTCCTAGAGATCTTACTGGTTCCCCAAACCCAAATGGAACCCCCATTTCTCTGGGTCATCTCCAAATATACATATTTTAAAGGATTTATTTACTTTTATTTATGTGTGTGAATGTTTACCCTGCATGTACACATGGGCACCATATGCATGCCTGGTGCTCAAAGGACTGAAAGGGTGTCAGATCTCAGGTCCCCTGAAACTAGGGTTATAGACGGTTGTGAGCCACCATGTGGGTCCTCAAACCTGATTCTGAACCTTCGGCAAGAACAGCAAATGCTTTATAACTACTAAGCCATCTCTCCAGCATCCCCTTTACAGAGATCTATTTATCTATCCTGTCAAATATAGAATTTTAATAATTTTATTCTTTTAAAGTTTTATATAATGTGTTTTGATCATTCCCTGCTACGCTCCCCCAACTCCTCCCAGATCCACCCACACTTTTCTTACCTACTCAAATTTGTATCCTATTTTTTTTTTTAAATTATTGAGTCCTACTTGTGCCATCCTCTAGGTATGGGGTCATTCACTGCGTCATGGGCCACCTGCAGGGGCCACGCCCTGAAGGAGAAACAATCCCCCTCTCTCAGCAGTCACCAGTTGCCCATAGCTCCTCAGCTATGCGTAGGACTTTGTGTCTCCTTCCCTCTCCCTGCTGGGGCCTTGTCTGGCTTGAGCGTGCCTAGGTCTCATGCATGATGTCATAAAAAAAAAAAACTGCTGTGAGTTCATGTGAGTATCTGACCTGCTGGGCTCAGGAAATGGTTCCATCGACCACCTCTGGCTCTTTCTATATATCTGTCCCCTCTTCCACCAAGGACATGCAGTTAGACTATTTATTATTCTGCTAAGTGGGTGTAGTATGAGACTCCAAGTGCCATAATGTTATAACCACAGATCAGTGCCTCATTCAGCTCTCATCAGAGAAGCTTCTTTATGCAGAAGATGGAGATTAACAGGGACTCACAACTGGTCTAGGTTCGTGTAAAATGAGACTGTGGAATGTTCTAAATATACATCTTCCTTCAGCTAATTAGAGCACACTTCTGTTCCTCAGACATCATGCTAGTGAGGATCACTAATGACTACTTTGCTATGGCGCGACCTCACTCCAGGTGTTCTGCATTTGTTCATCTCATTAAATGTCGTTTAGTCCTTATAATAATCTCACAAGGTCAGGATTGTTACCATCTGTGGAGACTGAAGCTTACTGTGCTGAAGGAGGAGATACCCACTAGGAATGGCAGGTTTACAGGCCGCTGAACACCACACACACACACACACACACACACACACACACACACACACACACATAAATTCTTTTTGCATTACCATCTCTGCAAGTCCCACTGAAATAGCAAAAGTGGATATTTTGTGGGGGAAATGTGCACATAGCAGGCCCAAAAGAACAGGAGCATGTGACAGAGACAGGCATGCCATAAATGGAGCAAATAAAAAAGAACTGAATTCGAAACTGGAATTTGGAAAGTTCCAAATGGGGAGTCCTCCTGTCCCAGGCCTAGAGCCCTGCTCCACCCACTGAGGACTCCAGCCTTCCTCTCCGCTATGGCTCATAGGGTAGCATGTTCATGTGACATACAGCAGAAACAAAACTGTTGAAGGAAACACAGGGACAAGGAAGAGGATAAGGGGGGGTGGGAGAAACTGCTCAATATATGGTATATACTAGTATGAAAGCTTAAAAACTAAAAAGAAATTCCACACAGCATGAAAAAGTCATCTCAGGAGTCATGGGGAAGGGACTCTGAGGCAGCGGAAGGTGAACAGGGTGCACCCGGAGTGCTCAGGCTCCCTTGGGTGCATGGAATTGGCGTGCATCATGTACTGGTCAATAAAAAGGTTTGCACAACTGAATAAATTTTGTGAAAAATTACAGATACATAGAAAGTTTAGGATAAACAATACCAGCAGTGAAAAAGACAAGAAGCTATTAAAATCACTGTTAAAAACGGTTAAAGGATAAAAAAGAAAAAGAAATGAAGGAAGGAAGGAAGGAAGGAAGGAAGGAAGGAAGGAAGGAAGGAAGGAAGGAAGGAAGAAGAAAGTTGTTTGGGGAATGGTGAAACATAATTTATACTAAGTGATAGGCTTTGCTTTAATGATGTTATCAAAATTATGGGCAAAACATAACATTCTCTTAGGAGAAGAGTGGAAGAGGCCAGGTGTGTGCACATGCTGGGGATTGAAGTAGAGAGAGTTATATTATAATTTCCACAGAAAGCCAGTAAAGAACACCTCACCCCACTGAGGGGTTGTGGGAGCTTGTCAAGTCTTTCATTCTGGATGGACAAGGAGGAAGCATGACATCTTGTTAATTTATGCCCCTTTCTTTATCTGCCTGCCTTTCAGGGATCAGCCTAACTCCTATCTCCTTGAAGCCCGAGTCCTGGAGTGGAGGTCTGTGGCAGTGTCACCTGAGCTCAGGACCAGCCGGAGGAAGTGACAGGGTCATCAATGCCTCTGCATCTCTCTCCCCTTTGTGCTACCAGTCCTTTGTCTTCTCTACAGCCTTCCCCATCTTGAGTTATACTTGCATGCTCCAAGTTTCTCCTTAAACGGGGAGCTGCGTTCAGACACCAGCACTCCTAGATCCACCCCACCCCTGCCCCCTTGTTGGGCTAGCTCCATCACTTCCCATGCCCTGGAATTTGGGACTCAGATAAAAATCCCTCTGCTTCTGGCACGCCTTGTGCTTCATTATCACATCTGTGTCTTAATGACATCAGGGAAACTAGGGCTGTCCTGCAGGACCAGGAGTTGGTCACAGGTGATGCTGTCCTCTGAATCCCTGCACAGTTACCAGATAAAATCCTTTGCTTCAAAGTCAGTGAACCAATCATGTGAGCCTTGTAGATTATCTGATCTTCAGGGACCCCCTCAGACATTCAGATGACAAAATGCGGGTCCAATAAGCCAGATAGAAGGCACACAGGGCAGATGTGCAGAAAGCACCCCTTCCAGTCAGGCCCGACTATGACATCATGTGCACACAACCATTATGAAAGCAATGTCAGATTTGCATGCCCTTCACCAAATCAAAACAGCCGTGCAAATAGCTTTTCGGGAAGTGAATGTCGACTGGAGAAAGTCAGAAGAAACTACCAAGGTTGGTGCTCTCAGACAACAGGAAAAGGAGCCAGACTTCTTAAGTCACCAGGTTTCCCACAGCTTCCAGATGCTGGGAGTTGCTCATTGTCTAAGGTAATCACATACACAGTTCTTTTCTGGTCCCTGGGGAAAAGATTGAGTAGGCTCATTTTCCTTTGCTATTTCAATCTTCACACCTATGTTACCATATAAAGAATCATTTCTGTCTTACCTGGAGACAGACCATATATGCCCAGCAGCATTCTCTGGCCATCTGGAAGAAAAATTTGAGCAAAGAATGGTGTGCAAGGTGCTCAGGTGTTCAGGAAGAGAGCCCGAGTTCCTTTCCAAGAAGTCCTCCTGTCGCAGCTGTGCTGAGTTTGAAGGAGTTTGTCTTTTGTGCAGCACAAGGGTGTGTTGTCAGGGTTTCTGTCATGCCCAGTTCCTGCAATCGTTAAGTCCCAAAGAAATCACACAGAGGTCTACATCAGTTATAAACTGATTGGCCCATTCGCTCAGGCTTTCTTTTAATTCTTATGACTTATATTAGCCCATTATTCTTGTCTATGTTAGCCACATGGCTCAGTACCTTTTTCAGCAGGGCAGTCACATCTTGCTTCTTCTGTGGCTGGGCCAGGACTGCAGACCAAGCTTTCCTTTTCCCAGAATTCTCCTGTTCTCATTGACCCACCTCTACTTCCTGTATGGCTACTGACCAATCAGCATTTATTTAAAATATAATTGACAAATATGGACAATTGTCCCACACCAAGGGTGGGACAGTGGAGATAGCTCAAGTCCTAACATTCTTGTTCTGCGAGCATGAGGACCTGAGCTGGATCTTCAGAATCCACATAGAAATCTGGACGTGAGGGATACACCTGTAATCTCAGTGCTGGGGAAGCAGAGAAAAGACCGGCCCTAGCAACACTGGCTAGCCAGCCTAGTCTGCTTCCTAGATCCAGACTAGTAGACACTCTGTCTTAGAAAACAAGGTGGATGTCTCCTGAGGTTGTCTTTCAGTCTCCATGTGCACATGCGTGTGTTTTGTGACAAGACTTTTCCTGCGGAGACACAACACAGATAGAGAGCCCAAAAAGACCAAAATATGTATGCCAACAAAATCAAATTGGGTCAGCCAATGAGTTTTACTGGGGTTACTTACAGGGATATGGGTGTTTTTCTATTGTGGTAATGAAACACCACGTGCAAATGCAACTTAGGGAGAATGGGGTTTATTTGACTTATGCTTCCACATTACTACTTATCATTGAAGATAGTCAGGACAGGAACTCAAGCAAGGCGGAAATCTGAGGGCAGAAACTGATAAAGAGGCATGGAGGGGTGCTGCTTACTGACTTGCTCCTTATGGCTTGCTCAGCCTGCTTTCTTATGGAACTCAGGACCACTAGACTGGGGGTGGCCCCACCCACAATGACTGAACTCTCAGCCATCAGTCATTAGTAAAGAAAATGCCCTTCAAGCTTGACTACAGTCTGATCTTATGGAGGAATTTTCTCACTTGGGGTTCCCTTCTCTCACATGACTCTGAGCTTGGGTCAAGCTGATATAAAACTAGCCAGCACGGTGGATGAAGGGTTACTTACAGGAACAGAAATGATTCAAAGACATATGTATCACCAAATCCAACCCCAACACTGGTGACAGCTCACAGTATCTGGGAACCTGGAACATACTTACAGGCAGCTCAAAAGTATCCTTTCCAAGTGACTTGTTTGGTCCAGACTGCTTCCAGGCCCCTCCACTGCTTTGAGAATCTTCTTAGCAGCTTGTCTGAGAGCAACTCCCAGCAGTCCTTGCTTACTCTTGGAAGGAGGGATCTAGTGAACATAGTCAGTTTCAGGGACTTCCTGAAGCTATTCTGAGTTGTTTACTTTCTAGCTTAAGATACTTTCCTTCAGAATGGATTATTCCAGTCTTGGAGTAAACTGTTACACAACACACACACACACACACACACACACACACACACACACACACACCAAACTGCACTGCACAGGGGTGGATATTTCAGTATGTAATTAGGTTTCAAAAAATAGAAAAGGAAGATGCAGGCTCCTTCTTTTCTAGAAACATGAACAAGGCACATTTCTCTAAGGCAGAATTGATTTTTCAGTAGCTCACAAGCCAGTAGTTCACAAGCAACCTTTTGTTTTCTGTGCCTCCAACTACCTATGGTTAACTGTGATCTTAAATGTAACATATTTTGACCACATTCAATCAACAGTTTTAGTTTTAGAAATAGTCTCTCAGTGAAACCTAGAGTAGTGTCGAACCGTGTTTCTCCTGCCATAGACTGCTAAGTACTGGCATTACAGGCATGCACAACAGAGCTTGGCTCAAACCACTTCATCACAGTATATAGACATAGTATTTCAACTTTGTTGTGAGTTAGCGGCTTTGCTTAGGGTGCTAAATTTGTAAGTTAACTTTTATTACATGTACATACATGTAGAGAAAAAGTGTACATTGCCATCGCAGAAGCACAACTCTTGAATTCAGGACACAGAGAGTGACATGATCTGAATCCCCAAGTCCCTGCTATAAAAATGTCATAGTGGCTGCATATACAGCATGCGAAACTCAGGCCATCCTTGGCTATTTCTATTCCCCAAACACAAGTAAACAAGAGGAAGTGTTTGCTTTATTGTACTGTTTAGGAAAGAATGCCAGGAAAAGCATCTGCCCGTATTCATCACAGGCATATTTTTTTATCCTTGAATATTTTCTTTTTTAATATTTGATTTCTCTCTCTCTCCCTCTCTCTCTCTCTATTTCTCTCTCCCTCTGTGTGTGCGTGCGTGCGTGTGTGTGTGTGTGCGTGCGTGTGTGTGTGTGTGTGCGTGCGTGTGTGTGTGTGTGTATACACACACCACAGTGTATGTGTGGAGGTCAAAGGAGTACTTGTAGGAGATGGTTCTCTCCTTCCACTCCATCAGTTCCGAGGACCAAACTCAGGTCCTCAGATTTGGTGGCAAGCACCTTTACCCACTTCACCATCTCACCGGCCTCCAACCTTGAACATTTCAATTTGTATCTTGCTCAGTCTTGGAGAACAAGGGCCAACTCATAAAGTTCAGTGCTGTGTTAGTTTCAGGTCTTGGAATGAACCCCTTGAGCAAAAGGGGCCACTAATGAGTTCCGAAAAACATCTGATTCTGAAAGAATCTTGCTCAGTTAATCTTTCCACAACCAGCCACTGGGAGTCCTTTATAAACCTCACTATGGTCTTTGGGGAAGTTAGGGCTTCTTAACTGTTTTTCATCTGTGCTGAGGAACCAACCCAGAGTCTTGTTCACGTGAGGCAAATGCCCAGCCATTGAGCTCATCTCCAGCCCTCTGTAGCCAACAGACAATTTTGACAATGTTTAATAATCAACACAGAATTTCCTATTCCTTTCCAGGCCCAGAAATGGGGATGATGGTGAGCGGCAGATGGGGCAGTCCATCTGGAAGACACTTCAGTGCCCACAGTTTTCCTTAGTTCAGCAAATTTGCCCAGGTTTATTTCTGAGCTCGCCATGGACAGCCCTGCTGGCCACATTTCTATTTGCTCTCATTTCCTCCTCAGTCAGGCTTTTAAAAAGTTCATTTCACTGTATAATTAAGTCTTACTTTAAACTTTCCTTTGTAGAAGCAAGGACCCATTTCCTTAATAATGTGTACCTTCTCCATAAGGGTTTTAGAACTATAGTTTTGAAAACAACATATGACATCTCCATGAAGGCAAGTAGGAGGGTCATGTACTGAACCTTCTGATGGCCGTGTGCGGCAGGAAGGAAGAACGCTCAACAGAAACAATTAGAAATACATCCCACAAAATAAGAACACGACCCAGCAAATAGCTGCTGTCCAACTTGACAGTTTGGAGTGGATACGCATCCTGAGGGCGCACTGTCATTCATGAGGAAACAGAATATACTCTCCAAACACTGAGCATCAGATCCAAGTGTTCTTCAGAAGATACTGCAAAGCATTTGAGGAGCCTAAACTAAGCATAATAGGTATAAATACAGTGTTTGTGTAGAAATTAAGAATATTATTTGGAAAACTGAACTATTCAAATATTAGCACATCACTTAGAAATACAGGAGCAGATGAAACAACAGGGCCCACAATAGTTGCTGGGGAGCACATCCTGGCCAGAGTCTAGGATCAAAGTCCACAACTAGCCAAGCTCGGTCAGCTAGAGAAGAGAAAATCAGCTGAAGTTTTGCTGGGTGTGACGAATGTGTTCTTTGTAGGAATAGATATGTCAGAGTTCTTTAGGATGTCCTGTGTTTTCTTATTTTCTATGACTAGTTGGGTTTTGGTTACTAAGTAACATGATCTGAAAATAAGTATATTTAAATGAATGCATAGCTAAAATGTATTCTGGACACTCAATTAGAAAACTGAATTAGTCTTATCACAAGACTGACTTGCACATTTTTAACAAATGTTTAATTTAACAAATTAAACACACACACACACACACACACACACACCCCAGTAATTCACTTCATTGTTGGATCCTCGTCTACAAACTTAGCACCCTCTTCAGTCAGGACTTTGTATCAATTCTGACGACACTCCTAAGAGGTATTACTTATTTTATGCCTTTTTTCCTCTGGTGTGTGTATGTGCTTGTGTGTTCGGGTATGTGCATTGTCATGTGTGTACATGCATGTGTGTGTAGGCCAGACATCAACTTCAGCAAAATCTGCTTTTTTTGTTTTTTGAACTGACAAGATTGATTTCAAGTGACTGAAAACTTACAGCTAGTCAAACTGCGTTACACTAGCAGCAGTAAGTTCCAGAGATTTAGTCTACAGCTTCACTGTGCCTGTCTGGGCTGCAACCATCTTTTATCTAAATGGCTTTGCCTGCTTGCTTTTTCCCTATGGCGGCTTTCTTTACTTTCTCATGACTTGGTGCAGCAGGCAGAGCGGGCTTGTCTTTGTAGCCTGTTAGTGCCTGAGTGCTCAGCACGTGACAGACTAATCTGTGGATGTATTGTGACCACATCGGGGAGTGGCCAGTCACCCTGCTTCTCCCAGCTTCTTCTTTCTAGCAAAGGAAGGAAGTGATTTTGCTAAAGATCTTGTGGGATTTTTTTTAAAGATCAGAACAAATTCTCCCCATAATTTTAACATCATTTCAACCATCATTGCTCCTTCCAATAAATTTTGATATTGATGTTCCAACAAATTGAGATACTGATGTTGACTCCCTGGGACATTGTATATACTTAATTCTTGGTTTCTGTTAATATTAGCAAATCAGGAGGGTCTTAATAATATGAAACATCATTATTATTATTTCATATTATATCAAATATGAAATGGGGCTTTAAAAGGGTCTATGTTACTATGAGAAACCTGAATCCTTCTTCAGTAGACAGGGGAATTGATGAGACAAATGCTGCTGGCTGTAAAGGTGAGGAGCACAGAACACCCACAGGAAGGAAGTGTAGGAAGCATTAGCTAAAGTATTCCACAAGAACCATCATAAAACTGAGGCTTCAAAGAAGGGAAAAAAGGAGTCAGAGAGGCAATGATCAAAGAGGCAGAAGTTGAAGACACAGTGGGAGTCTGGTGACTCATCCCTGGCTAGCAGGGTCGAGGAGGGAGCTTAAATAAAGAACTACGAAATAGGGTTCCAAGATCACTTCCTGTGCAGCTGTGAGCCTGTGCAGCTGTGAGCCTGTGCAGCTGTGAGCCAACACATTCCGCTTCCATTGGCCTAAAACTGAAGAGAATCACACATGCACATGAGTCGCTTCACTTTGGAGAAGTCAAGCAAAAGTCTTTGCCTCTGGTTTGTTTAAGAAGGAGATGAAATAAAGGTTAGAGATAGTTGAATGGGCAGGAAATGAGAATCGCCGTTGTCTGTGAGACACTTTGATGGTTGTCTTTTGGGAAGTGGGAAAGAGCTAAAATAGAAAGAAAAGACACAAAAGAAAGGAGAAGGATGTAGTATGCCATTCCTGGACTATAGCAGGGTTAAGTACATTTTACATCGTTGGTAAAAAGCCAGGTGGTTGGGTGACATTCGAGCTGTGGCTGTCCTTATAATTGAAGCATCCAACCTATTAAAATTATTTTTGGAATTTTTATAGAAGATTGTCCCAGCAATCCAAATGTTTTCTTTGTTATGGCCTATGTTATGTATCTTTCTTATGTCTCCTACTGTGCGTGCATGCATGTATGTGTGTGTGTGTGTGTGTGTGTGTGTGTGTGTGTGTGTGTGTGTAGGCCAAAAGACACCTCTGTGCTGTTCCTCAGGAAGGCTAATGTCTTGGTTGGTATTCTGTTTGTTTGATTTTTGTGACGAAGTTTTTCACTGGGACCTGGGTCTTGACGCTTAGGCCAGTGAGCCCCAGGTCCATTTGCCTCTGCCTCCCAGCACTGGAATTACAGGTACATGCATCAAGCTCTGTTTTTGTAGCATGGGTTCTGGGCATTGAACTTGGGTCCTGGTGCTTTAGCAACCAAGCCACCTGTCCAATCCTAGCTTGTATCTGTTTCTCTCCTCTGAGTAGGCTGTTAGAACAGCATCTTCATCTCCAAAATACAGAGAGTGAGACCTGGAGGGAACTGGTGTCTTTCTGAAAGCAAATAAGCATGCGAGCGGTGAGATGGAGTAGAGCCCAAAGATCTGCACACACAGTGGTTATGACAGTCAGTGCACAGCTCCTCACTAACAGTGTGACCCTGGCCATTTCCCCTGCAGTAAGTAAGCACTAATATTGAAAGCTTTATGAGCTTAAATATGCCATGTCTAAGGTGCTGGATACAGCGCTTAGAGCCAACTTTAATGCATTCTAGAGTTATTTGTTTACTTCTGTAAGTTACTTGCAAAGTAAAGATTAACATTAGCAAAATTATCTCTCAAGTTTGATCATTTCAGAGAGCGTTGTTGGAACTCAACTGAGAAGGACTCTGGCAAGTATTTTATAGTTTTCTGGGTTGTCAAGCTGCCATCATTTTCAACTTTTAAAATACTGCAGGTTTATACAACTGTACAAAGTCTATCTAAAAGAAAATTACAGTAGCAGATGGACTCTAGGTCCCTAAGTCCTCCTGAGGGTCATAGGTCTGGCTTCAAGGGTATTGTCTCTGATAAGACACCGAGGGATCAGCAGAGAGAACCCAGAGCTGCTTCAGCATTTGCCAACTCTCTCCCGCCTGCCTGTGCAGTGTGTCATTGAAGAGTGACAATGAGTGGCAGGTAGGACAGTTCATCAGAAGGACACTGGAAGCATCAGGTTTAGGATTCCCATTTTCTTCTTGAATGTGGCTTGGGCCAGAGAGGAAAGCTAGCGAAAGAAACCTCGAAGCAGGTGAAGGGCAGAGCTCATGGTAAACTCACATTTAACTTCCTGAGAAACTGAAGGACCTTCTTGGTAAGTGCTTTCGCCATTTTGCATTTCTGTCCACAGCCCACAAAATTTCTGGTCACCACCATGTCTTCCTCAGCATTTTGCGCTGTGGCTTTTATTCTCATCTCTTTAATGACTAATCATGATGAGTTTTTTTTTATTTAATATTTGCCACCCATGTCTTCTTTGATGGAGTATCTGCTAAAATATTTTGTCAATTCAAAATAGATTGTGTTTCCATTATTGAGTTTTAAGTGTTATCTATTCTGGTACAAGCCCTTCCTCGGGGACTTTTCCTTGCTCGGGGAAAAGTCCCTAAGTACCAGCAAGAGCAAGTACTAACTACATGGTTGGACAGAAGTGTTTAGATCAATGATGATCTTGATCTCACCCTGACTTTGTTACAATTGTTCTACTCCTTATGCCGTTCCAGTTATCAGGTCAAAGAAGCGACTTCATGTCTATTTTCAATGAAACTTTTAAAAACATGGTGTTTTCTTGAACTGTTGGTGTCCCAGGCAAGAATCCAACTGTGAGACTAGACTTCCCGGCAGCACCCCTCCCTCTCCACAGAGATGGAGGCTGAGGAGGTGCCTTGTGCACAAACTCCACTGGGTGTAAAGGAAGCATCTTTGCTTTTAGAAGAACAGTGAGTATGGATCTCTGGGCCTGCATCCTCCTTCAAATGTCTGTTCCAAAAAGAGTTACCTGTACAGGTTCTCAAGCGCAGACACTGGGTCACAATAGGAATAGCCATTACTGTTGTACATGCTATGAATGTTTTCCATTCTCACCTGCCACAGTTCCACCTAAAGCAGAAAGAAAAGATTTTCTGTGAAAGATTGCAAATGTGGGCCTGTGGATACATCACAGTATCTGGCTACAGCCGGTGACAAATTCCAGAGGGTCCTGGGAGGACAGTTCAATGGGTAAAAGTTTTTTTTTTTAATTAAATTATTTATTTTACATCTCAACCAGTTTCCCCCCTCCCAAATCCTTCCTTTCCCTCTGATACACCTTCTCTCTGTTCCCTTCCCCTCTGTCACCTCCTTAATTCACTCCTCCTCTGTTTCTGTTCAAAAAGGGGCAGGCCTCCCATGGGTACCAACAAAGCATGGCATATCAAGTTGCAGTAAGATGAAGCACTCATCCCTGTATTAAGGCTGGGCAATGCAACCCAGTATGAGGAATAGGTTCCCAAGAGCCAGGTAAAGTGTTAGGGACAGCCCCTACCCCCATTGGTAGGATTCCCACAAGCAGACCCAGCTACACAACTATCACATATGTCGAGGGCCTGGGTTGGTCCCATGCAGGCTTGCTGGTTTTGGTTCAGACCCTGTAAGTTCCTATGAGTCCAGGTTGGTTGATTCTGTGGGTTTTCTTGTGATGTCCTTGACCCTTTGGCCTGCTACAGTCCTCTCCCCTCTCTTCAGCAGGATTCCCCAAGTTCAGCCTGGTGTTTGGCTGTGGGTTTCTGCACCTGTTTCCACCAGTTACTAAATGAAGATCCCCCAATAGCAATTGGGGTAAACACCAACATGATGACAGGAGATGACCAGTGCAGGCTATGTATCCATGATTGCTCGGAGACTTAGCTGGTATTATCCTTGTAGATTATTGTAAGTTTCCCTTGCACTAGGTTTCTACCTGACCCTGAAATGCTTCCCCTTTCCAATCATCTCTTTCAGTACTCTCCCCCTGCACCCACCTTCCAACCTGATATTTCCCTCTCTACCAGTCCCTAGTCCATCCAGGAGATCTCTTCTGTTTCCCCTTCCCAGGCTCCCCCCTTGGACCCTCCTTGCTACCTAGCCTCTCTGGGTCAGTGGATTGTAGCATGGCTATCCTTTGGTTTACATCTAATATCCACTTATGAGTGAGTACATACCATGTTTGTCTTTCTGGGTCTGGGTTACCTTACTCAGGAAGGTTTATGAGAACCTGCCTAAATCAAATGCACAGCCCTTATGTGGAAACTCAGGTGTTCCTGCCTGCATGCATGGGTGATATCTTCCACTGTCCTCTTCTGTTTCCCTCTTCTAGCCTCTACACATGCATAATACATGGTGTGTTCCCTCACACAAATACACACACACAAACATACACACACACTACACACCACACCACATCACACCACACACACACAGACACACACACACAAACACACAGACACACATACACACACACACACACAAGTCCAGAATGTAAATACAGTGGGATAAATGTTTGTATACTCTTCTCTGATTCTGACATTGTCACACTACCCTAAATGTGACCATGTTGAAGGGTGGGAATTTGGTGATAAGTCATGAAGGTGAAGGTGATCCTTCATGACTGGGATTAGAGATGATTACCATAGTGATTTCTGGTTTTATATACCTTAAGGACTCACTGAGAAAATCACCATGTGCAAGAAGAAAATAGGAGCCTTCGACAGACCTGGCCACACTGACTTCCTGAGATTGAACTTCCGGCTTCCAGCTCAAGAAGATGATCTATTCAAACTTCCAAAACTGTGCATGATGCTTGGTTATAGCCTGAATTGATGAAAACAGTGAGCTAGCTGAAGGACTACAATGGCCTTTCCATCCTCATTCCTCCATCCCTTGGCAAGCACCAAGATGCTGATTGGAAGATCTGAAGCTCCATGGAGCAGAGGTCTCAAACTGCTGACTTGTCCACCTTTCATATTACAAATGTTCTCATGTAAGGGATGGCTTAATGTGCCTAGACAATGAAAAGACACCTCTTAATCCTTGTCTTGTGTTCTCTTCTGAACCATGCACAGAAAATGAAAGACACAAATGCAAACATGAGGTATAGAAAATCAAGACAAAAATTAGTGGTGAAAATAATGCAACTTAAAACCACAGCCTTATAAGATTTTGCACACGTGTTCTTCATCGCATTGGCTCCTATTTTCAAACAACAGACTGAGGCTAAACGAAAATTTACCCAAGGCTGCAAGGCTGCTATCTCGATAGGCTGATGCTTAAAACTTCCTGTCCACTTAGGCTAATGAACTGTCAACGGTGTCCACAGAAAGAGGAGGCTCACAGAGCTCCGCACAGCACCAGACCTGAGTCCACAACCACTAATGAGCTGTCTCTGCCTCAGGTACTGCAGCTGTCCCCAGCATGCCACAGCCCAAGGTAAGCTAACAATTACACATAGACCCACATATGTTAGATTTTAGAATCTATGCAGTTGACAATCACCCCGAGCAGTATGAACATACAGGTAAGACTGTCAAACACTGACCTAGACAATACCACTGACTTGTTCTTATAGTACATAGCACCTCTATAATATTGCCAGGCCCACCTGCACAGTTCCTTCCTTGCTTGCTTGCTTCCTTCTTTCCTTCCTTCCTTCCTTCCTTCCTTCCTTCCTTCCTTCCTTCCTCCCTCCCTCCCTCCCTTCTTTCCTTCCTTCCTTCCTTCCTTCCTTCCTTCCTTCCTTTCTTTGCTCTTCCCTCCCCATTTCCTCCCTGACTTCTTGCCTCCATCCCACTTCCCCCTCTCTCTTTGAGAAAAAGAATCACTCTGTATTTCACTTTCATTCTCTTGCTCTTGCCTTCCCTTTTATTCCTCTCTTATAGTCCTAAAGTGTAAGCCCACAGCCCCATACTCACACAAAGCAAATATTCTGTGCCCATGAAGCAAGGTTCCTGGCCACTAAGTTACCTGCCCAACTCTACCTTTCTAATTTTAAACACTGTCACTCTGTGCCTGATACTGGGCATGCTAAGATCTCAGTGGTAGGATTACTCGGACTTGATATATCCTGTCCTGACTAGTTTTGTGTCAACTTGACACAAGGAGGAAAATTCAGTTGAGAAAAGTCTCCCCTTTTCTAACAATAGGACGTTGTCTTAATTAGTGTCTGACATGGGAGTGCCAAACCCATTGTGTGTGATGCCATCCCTGGGCTACTAGTCCTGTGTTCTATTAGAAAGCAGGCTGAACAAGACAAGGAAAGGAAGGTAAAAGCAGCATCCCTCCATGACCTCTGCATCAGCTCCTGCCTCCAGGTTCCTGCCCTGTTTAAGTTCTTGTCATGACTTCCTTCAGTGATAAATACAGTGATTTGGAAGCATAAGCTACATAAACCTTTTTCTCCCAATTGCTTTGGTCATGGTGTTTCATCACAACAATTAAAAACCCTAACCAAGACACCGTTTTTACACAGCATGTCGGGTTTTTTTTTCCTGTGTCTTCCTATTCATTTAACTTCTATCCAAATGAGAATGCCCCCCATAGGCTCATCTGTTTGAATGTTTGGTTAGTGGAATTCTTTGGGAAGGATTAGGAGTTGTGTTCTTATTGAAGGAGGTATTTCAAAAGTCCATGACAGACCCATATTGCTCTCTCTCTCTCTCTCTCTCTCTCTCTCTCTCCTTCCCTCCTGCCCTTCCTCTCTCTGTCACTCTCTGTTTCTCTGTGTGTCTCTGTGTGTGTCTCTCTGTCTCTCTCTCTCTGCTCTGATTAACATGTAAAGCTCCAGTGCCATACCTCTCTACCTCCTGCTATGATTGTGGACTAACCCTCCAAAACTACAAGCAAGTCCAAGTTAAATGCTTTCTTGTATAAGAATTGCCTTGGTCATTGTCTCTCTTCACAGTAATAGAACAGTAAGTAGTACACCATGCTCTAAAACACTTCTCCTGGGTAACTATTTCCCTGCCCCTCTTAGGCACAGTTGACTGTTATTTTAGGTCTATATTACTATGTGTATTATTATTGTAATCAAGATTCACTCAAGTGATTGTTTCTCTTCCTGGAGCATAAGCAGACTCACATCTTTTTCCATAGTGAGACTAGAATTTTCCTTGTCAACTACCACTTCTCATTTTCTTCCATTTGATTGGGTGCCTCTATTGATTTAAAAGCAAATATGTACTAGGATTAGAAAATCTAAAGCTTATTGATTTGCTTTTTTCTTGTTGCTTTAAAAACAATAAAAAAATCCAATGGTAAGGCTACTGCAATGAATTATGGGATTTGTAGGCACTGGACTTTCATGCAATCAGTGCAGAAAATGTCTTTGAACACTATGAAACTTATCAGGATATTGCGGGATATGTTTCATGGGTAAATAAATCAGGTATATGTTGTGAGTAAAAGATCAAATTACAGAATAAATTTGAAAACATCTATAAAATCTTATGATTATGCATCAAGACAGCATCAAAACTCTGCATTGATAGTTTTAATCTTGTGGGAGCCCTAGGTGGGATATTATGAATATTTATCTTCAGGAAACTAAAACCTTTTCATGGATCTCTGTTTTTAGTTATAAATTAAAATTTTAAAGTATGACAAATTTTAAAAGAATGCAAATCAGATTATACATCTGTAGTGTAGCCTGCCCCCTACATGGAATTAATCATATGGAAAAGCTGAGGGCAAGTATGTGTGTCTGAGTCCAGGACTCAGCACCTGTTAGAATTTTTGTTCAGAGGAGGGAGCTGATGTTGACCAAAGAATCGAAACCCACAAGCTCCTCTCTGAGTAGCAAAGCAAACAACCAATACAGAGTATCCACACAATTACAAGTCTTAGGGTCAAATAAGGTTTTCAGAATGCACAGTCTTTTCCCCTGAAACAAATGCTCATAACAAGGATGGAAATTAAGGGACATTTGCTCACTCAAAATATCAACACAGGTTCAAAGGGCCAAAAGGGACGATGTGCAAATTTACATATGATTCCACCAATAAGAGAAAGCACATATACCATGCATGCTTCTAATTCTGAGTCTGGGGAGATTAGTCACCCAGTCATAGCACCAATAAAACA